ACTGCATGCAGAATTGACTACGCAGTCTCGTAATTTGCAGGAAAATCGTGAATTTTCGCTCCTCAAAGTACGTGTCCGTCAAATATGGATACTTTCGCAGTAGACTCTTCTGCTCTGAGGTGCGCCATGCACTCGTTTGTGGTTAATAGTTGGAGAAGCACTCGAAAGTTATACCCCTCACCTACTGTCGCGACAGCAAACGTCCTCATTCTAATCGTTCAATGCTGTGAGCCTGAGCCTAGAGCTTTATTCGCATCTGTGTTACATTTCGTCATTCGTTGACTCCTGTGAACACGACCCCCCTTCCTCTCCCGTAGGATCAAATACGATTCCCACGTTGGACTCTGTCCGACGGACGGTTCACCCTGGTCGCATTGCGCAGAACCTTTTTGAGGTCCATCGTGATATACAAACCGGAAATAAACGCAAATATGTGTAAATAATCATAAACGACCACCTAAACTTTCTTTATCAGAGAAAATCAATGAAAAGAAACGAAATCTACCTTAGCTCTGAAACAAAATACAACAGAAATAAGATACTTTGGAATGTCTTCAGAATATAAGTGATGTGTAACATCGGCCATACCATCGAAAATGACACTATGGTATGACTTACAGAAACAATTCAAGTCCCGTATAGACAACAGTATCCGTCGTAGACAGAATAAACACCTTCGGCACACATATACAAAACTTACAGGAATAGAAGAAACTTACAAGAACAGTTTGAATGCCTGCTGATAAATGTTGTAATTAAAAACAAACTGATAATATAGGAACATTGCTCAAAGGCAAAACAGTGTACCACTATACGTTCATGAGATATTGGTATCTACGGAACGAGAATTCTCTGGGTGCATGCTTTTTCTGAGCAAAGGGCGTGACATGGGCGATTTCATTGCGGCCGCAAATGCCGGCAGTTGCGTCGCGGTCGCGTGCAGAGCACAAGGGCGAGCAAACGCAACCGCAACGACGCCGCATTTGCGATAGCAACGAACGCGATTGAGCCACGCCCTTCCCTCAGCAAAAAAATAGCCACCCAATTTCAGAGGACCACACGGCTTTCCACGTGATCCTAAAGGCTATTACACAGTGAACTTTGAGTAAAATGCACGAGACGTATCGAAATGCAACAAGAGATGTGCCAAATGCTCAATTGCTGCATAAGTGATTATCATGCTGTCTATGAATGAAAGAACATTCTCGAGATAACCACGGCCATTCCCATACAACTGCTGACTATTTGCAAAATTCACTACTAAAGGCCTCACTGTCGGACTGCACCATTCAAAACCTGATCAACCATGGCATAACCATTTTGACGAAGCTGCAGCAAAGGAGCACAACGACCACCTCATCTCGGAAAGTTCTCACATCATACAACATAAGAACATGATCAGAAAGGCAGGAACAGTAACGATATACCGGGAAAAGACATCACTACGACATTTGAAATAGAATCAAATTCAGTTGAGAGAAAACATTTCAGAAACCAATCAATGACGAGAATAAATTCTGGAATGTGGATCTGAATACATTTTCTACGGAAATTTCTTCAATAGCCACCTTCAAAATTTGTGCGCCTCTAAAACGGGCTGTGGTTCGCTCGGACAGAAAGGGTCTTTTTCGTGTTTCGCTGCAAAACGAGAGAAGTCGCTTCCTGCCTTAGCGAACCCCACCTTCTACAATGTCTTGCAGAGTTAAGGCAACAGAACAGAATACTGCAAAAAATCAGAGTGAGAGGGAAAATGTACGTAAATAACTTAACACATCGAGGTGACACAAATCGAGAAAATGACTATACATTACTGGTGCGGTTCGCCTCTACGCGTAATAGCCAGCGTAGCGTACTTCTTGTGATGCGCGACACAAGATACACGAAAAGATTAGCGAGAGAGCTTCCACTGCAAGAAGGATGAAACCGATCACAATGATCACCTCGCCTGATGACTCAACCATGTGAGAAATACGGGTGAAGCAGTCTGGCTGAAATGAAAATTGTTAGGAGCCTTGACGAATTACGCCTTTTCTTTCAACGCCCCCTCTCCTGCATTCAAAGATCGGCTAAACGTGGAGAACACCTTATCAGCTTGGTGAGAGAATCTGCAACTTCCGAGGAGAACTTTTAACTTTGCAGGCTGCATGTGCACATATTCACTCATTTCTGGATGTACAGGGTGGGCCAAAATTATCGCAACCGCGTTTAAACCCCCAACCTTTTTAATCACCTTTTCTGTGCCATAGTAGTGTAGGATACCAGATTATAGTTTTCGTAGCGAAACCACAATATCATGCATAGTCCAATATAGTGGCTGCGCTGTCCCACTACCTCACTGATCGACAAAGAGGTTTTGACCCTTACAACTTACAGCACTTAAACTTAACCGAGAAGTTCTTATGGACAATGGTCGGATGCTTCGATAAGTTTGGAGCAACCTCAGATGGAAATTCGAAGGTTACAGTTACCACCAGGATAAACCATGAGAAGTCTCCTAATACCTTGCGCGCCCTTCCCGTACACCCCCGAAATCGAACTGATGTTAAAGCACACTTGTGCACTCTAGAACCTCAACCCTGTCGTGGAAAAAAAGCCATTTGAGTACTCCCTATTAGACTTTTGAACTGGTCAAAACAACCATCAGGCAAAAATTTTGCAATGAGGGATTGGTCGAGTTCACAGGCTAAGGACTTGTTAATTTGAAGTCTCTAACCAAATTCAGCCAAGTTTCTGTGGCAAACCTAGAGCAAGAGCACACCAAAACCTCTTGAATTTCTTATCTTCTGAAAAGGTGTAGCAAGAAAAATGGAAGCTCTGAAGGGGGGGCGTCCTACCTGCGTGCCACAGTGCCACCCTTCCCCCCCGCATCTGAATGCATCTGTGTGAGCGGAATAGGCTACGGATTTCAAACCCAACTTAGTTTTACTTTCGTACGAGTGACCGACACTTCAATAATGTTTGTTTTTTTTATTATGCTAACGATCATTTTAACGATATAATAATGACTTAGTATCCTGATTTCCATTTCTTTGGCCCAACCCTTAATAGAAAATAGCTTGGGATCAAACCCACGACCACACATTACATTGTAAATTCTCGCGCGGGCCACTATAGCTTAAGACATGCAACCTAACAGCCAGCTAAATTAATAGCGGAGAATAAATGCGACCAACTGCACAGCCGCATCTAGATCGTGTTGAACGTGCACTGCCTCCAAAGAATGGCAACGCGCTCAACACGAGGCGAGACCCTCTGCAACACAGGTCACTGCGGCGTGCGCAGATTTCTAGACTTTGCGACTAGTCCTTAACATTTTTTTGGGGGGGAGGAGGCGTCCCGATACGACCTCAGCTCCCATCCACCCTCACCATCATGGCTGCTTCCATTTTATTTATTTTTGATTTGCTTTGAAAGGCTGCATAAGGCAGTCGTGGGAAACAACATAAATGGCAACAACACAACAAGCTTTCCATATAGATAACCTAGTATATAGCTCAACAATTTTTTCCTAGCTAGGCGCTTGAAAAGCACAAAAGTGGGAGTGACGAGTGCCACATTTGATTTAAGAGAAACAAATATAGACCCGCACGACAGGTGAAGCTATAGAGCCTCACGTTAGTTCTTGGCGTTGCATATGAAATTTTCTCAGGCCCTCCTCTGGTTCTAGATTTCGCCTTGACATAAAATTTGGATGCATCAACTCGGGCAATACCGGTTAACAACTTAACACCATACAAGCATCATAAACTTTTCTACGAGAACATAAACTATGCGACTGGAAGCTTCTATTCCATAGTCGACACAGCCCATCCGCCCACTTTCTCCCTCCAAAACGGCCGTCGAAAGGGGCGGAGTGGAAGGAATTGGGGTGGGGAAGTGGACAGGCGGTAAATATATAAATATTATATAACTAAAGAATCTTGAAATCCTCTGAACATCCTCTAATTTTTCCTACTTCTTGCTTCTTTCATGAAATGTAACTCCAAACTCGTCACAAAACCCATCAACCCCGACTCCTTCTCCAACGCAAAATACAACCCCTCGAAAGAACCTTGAACACGACCCCCTCTCAAGAACTGCGCATCGCACGATTGACCATTCCTCCGACCGCTTTCGTTTCCGCCTTAGACAAGCTGAGCATTCACTTTTTCGTAATGGTCATAGACACGATTCGCAAATGCTTCGCTTCAGCAATGGATGGTGCCGAACTACTTTGATGTTGTAGGCTGGCTGTTCTTTACTGCATCAAAATGCTGGGCACTTTGCAGTAAGCAGACATTGCGGTTAAATAGTCCGCGCGGCTTACGGTCAACCCAGTACCGCACAAAGAGTCCTTTAGTCACTTAGAAGCTAATGCAGTCGGATGAGAGGACATCCAGCGAACTGCACATTCCATTTTTCAAGAAGTGATCCGCGCCAAACTGGTCCAACTGGCCACGTTACCCTAGGCACGCAAATTTTAGATTTAACACCAAATGCTACATATCGGTGATAAGACGTACAACAAGCGGCCGCACCAACCGATCTATAAGTACACACTCCTTTTTCGAATCTGTAATATTACAATTTATCGGGAGAGTTTCGGATTTTCATGGGATTGGCAAACTGGATAGATAGCAAAGTCGCGATGTTAATAGCGGGATGACAATCCATGCTTGAATCCAGAAAAAAAGAGCTCCGGGGGTGAACGATTCCCCTTTGCAGAAAAGGGCTTCAGCACATCTTGAGATGTAATTGGCCCCTTTCTTGAAAACCTTCCCCAGTCCTCTATGAAAGAAGTGTCATCCTCTAGCCAACAAGCATTATGAATACCCGTAATAACTTCCGCACTCAATAGCCCATTGCCATTATCAAACACACATCTGAAGTTGTTTCTTGCCAAATTTCATATATCAGCTCATGGAAAAAGATCCTTGAAGAAGGACTTCCCCGGCGATAAAGTTGAAGGGCGCAGAAATGGATGGACACCTACCATAAACACGGGGACACACCATCTTTAAAGGGGGTACAAGATGCAATTTCAAGCAAATGCCCTGACGATCTGTCATCCCGCCCGTAGCCGCACCGCTGTACGGCGGCAGCCTTATCCTCGTCAAGCTCTACCATGTAGCCAGGAGAGCGTTAGGTTGCGAGCACAAAACGAGAGAGAGGCATCAACGTGGAATACTGAACAAAAAAGGGTCCATCTTTTTATTGGGTTTCTTCATCAAGCCTTCAATGACCATACTCTACCCTCACTTCTAATGACTGCCTCCTAAGGTAAAACCTGCCTCTGAGAATTGCACACTCCCTCATCAACAGTGTCCCTGAAAAACTGATTGTCAAACGTATAACGTCCGACAACACACTCCACATCGGTGGCGTTGGAGAGTTTCGTTTGTTCTAACCAGCATCCACACTAAATCACCATAGATGCTGAAGCCTCTTCAACGTCTACCACTTTAAGTCATGACTAAGCATTTTCGTTTGCTATCCACAGTAACTTCAATTAATTCATGAGATGCATTTTTCAAGCAATGGACTGAACCTAATACGATACATTTCACAGCCTAATCAGCGGACTGACATGGAAAATGTAAACAATAATATTAAAGATGCACCACTATACAGTCAGCACTGACGATTAGAGCGCAACAAGATAACCCTGAATGCAGTTCAACTCACCAACTGTGACTGTTCTAATCGTGCATAACTCTTTGGCAACACTCTTGTGCATTCGTAGCGCACAGCCCACATACAATCTGAGTGTTACGATTGCAGAAGACATTTCAGCGTTTTCGCGATGATCCAAACCTAAAACAAATCTCAGGAATGTTACTAAGGAATGTGAAAATCTAAAAAGAACAACGCTCCGAGTAGCCTTTGCACGCTTCACCGAATCTCTCGTTTGACATGGAAAATGGGCACCAAATGTCGATGGCTGAGAATCAACCGCACAAGGAGAGAACATAAGGCAAAAGTCAAGTCATAGCAGAGTAAAAACATCATATCACACGTGATGACCAAGGGCACCCATCGCATCTAAACGAATCGGACTTCGACACGCCGCAACAGCAAACAAAATGACAACCAAAACAGCAGAGCCGCAACAGCAACAATAACACAGCGAGCTTGTACTGAAATTAAATTGCAAACTTTCGAAAGACCATTCCATGGTTTCCTTCCTCGATGAAATAATGACTGCTCAGTGAATTACGAGTAATAGTATTAATCCTCGCCGATTCGAAAACGGTAGGTAGGGGTAACAGCCCTCGTTTGGCATAGCTACAACTCGATTACGACATACTTGCACATCCCCAGCCGGGATCGGGGTCGACATTTGGCAGACTCAGATTGCGACCGTCGCCTGCCGACTGCGCCCCCGTGCAACGCGTAAGCATGATCGATCAAAGGCACAACGCAAGTATTGGAAACTATAGGATGCATTTCTGCACGCCATATTGAGCATGGGTTCAATTGTTTTAAACTGGAAGTACTGTAGTGAGAGCTCTACGGCGCGTGGCACTGCGATTTGCGCGAATCGCGCGATCAGCGACAGTGTGACACCTCACCAGCGCGCGTGTTCTATTGTATGTATGAAAGCGAATGCATTATGAGCATCAAATCAACACTTGAAAAACTGCTGGATCACTGAACATCCATGGACAAAAACACTATGGAAAATATCCAACTTAGACCCCTGATTAGTATAAAGCGTGCAACGCATAGTCCAGCTATTTTTAATAGAAACCCTTCAGCGGTTAAGTGCTCTCAGGGAACATCTATACGTAATCCGAGTAAAAAGTAGCGTAGAAAAATCTCATTCCAAAGTAAACTCAAAAGTAAAAACAAAGAAACGCTCAGGTAAACTCACTTTGGCAATCTCATCGATATGTGTATGGTCAGCACCGTCGACTTTACGAACAAAGTCAGCAAGATGTGAACCGAAATTCTTATCGAGGTTTGCCCACAATGAGAAGCCGAAAATTAGGGCACCGAATACACAAATCAGAAGGTTGACAAGAAAAAAGAAGAACTTCACCCAGCGAATTCGCACAACCTATAGCTCATTCTGACACGATGCAATAAATTAAATTCGAAAAATAATTCATAAATAATTCAAAAGCACGTAAAATTACGACATCAAAGCTGTATAAAAAGAACGACGAACAACGCTTCTATTATAGAAAAACGAACATTGTTCAAGCACAATCAGAGCATCAGAAATTTGCTGACTTCATCTATAAAGATACTGATGACTAATTACAAATACACTCATTCGCGCCAAAATCTTGGCACAATTATTGGCGGCAGATGGGCTCACGACATCGCCCCGAAGCGAACACCGAACTATGCGAATATGGCAAGCTGATTATAGCCGTCGTAAACGGATTCCAGCAAACTTTGGATTTTGGGATAGTATGAAGTGGAAAGAGTGACAATCGACATCTGGATACATAACAATCCTCGACCACACATACAACCTGACAGCATGGAAATGATTAAGCAGACACCGCAACATACTACAAGCTGTCAGAAACAATGGTGAATGGATCTTTCAGCACTAGCGAATGTGCAGTCACCTACTACAGGCATTTGCATTGAAAAATCCCACGAAAGGACATCAAAGAATGGCATTTTCTTTGGCACTGACCGCAAACTCTCCGCGCTCAGATCGTACTATAGCGAGTGGTGATTTGTGTTTAGTAAGTGATTTTTTTTTTTTTTTTTGTTGGTTTTTTTTTTTTTTTTTTTGTGATATGTATCTAGCCTGGCGAATCAACGGTAGGCGAGCGTGGTGTAAACAAGCTGCCTCGCTTTGGCCAGTACAACTAGGCGATCCACTCGGATCGGCGCTATAGCCTGTCACACTACGAGCTCGGAATCGTACGCACATTTTAGGCAGGCGTCAGACTGCGCACAGTCCAGTGGCTCAATAACTGCCACCGCCGCTGCATACGTTCAGTAACATGCATCGACACAAGCGCCCACAAACGCAAGCCATTTGATAGTAATGCTAGGCTGACACTGCCTATTGAGGCTGGTTTCAATTGTTTTAAACTGGCTGACTGACTGAGTGAGATTGACCTGCGGCGCGAGTGGCACTGCGATTTGCGCGAATCGCGCGATGGCGACAGTGTGACACCTCACCAGCGCGCGTGTTCTATTGTATGTATGAAAGCGAATGCATTATAAACATCAAATCAACACTTGAACAACTGCTGGATAACTGAATATCCATGGCAAAAGCAATGGAAAATATCCAATCCAGACCCCTGATTAGTATAAAGCGTGGAACGCATTCTAGCTATTTTTAATAGAACCCCTTTCTAGCGCTTTTAATGCTCTCAAGTGCGAACAGCTATACGTATTCCGACGGTAGCGTAGAAAAATTCTCATTCCAAAGTAAACTCAAAAGTAAAAACAAAGAAACGCTTAGTAAACTCACTTTGGCAATCTCATCGATATGTGTATGGTCAGCACCGTCGACTTTACGAACAAAGTCAGCAAGATGTGAACCGAAATTCTTATCGAGGTTTGCCCACAATGAGAAGCCGAAAATTAGGGCACCGAATACACAGATCAGAAGGTTGAAAAGAAAAAAGAAGAACTTCACACAAGAATTCGCACAACCGTATACCATTTCCTGAAACGATACATTAATGCATAAATGCTGAATAAATAATTTATCAATAATTCAGAAGCACGTGAAATTACGACATCAAAGCTGTATAAAAAGAACGACGAACAACGCTTCTATTATAGAAAAACGAACATTATTCAACAGTCACAATTCCAGAGCATCAGAAAATTTGCTGGAATTTCATCTTTGAAGACTACTGATGACCTGATTACAAATATCACATTCATTCCTAGCGCCAAAGACCTTGGGCACAATTTGGCGGCAGATGGTGCTAAACGGCTTCGCCGTCGAGAGCGAACACCGAACTTGCGATCATGGCACTGATTAGTCGTCTGTAAACGGAGTTCCAGCAAAACTTCTGGTATTTGGGGATCGTAGAAGTGGAAAGAGTTGACAATCGAAACATCTGGGAAAATCATGCAACTCTTCGACCACACATACAACTGACACATGGCCAAAATGATTAAGCACGCCACACATCTACAGATGCTGTCAGAAACAAATGGGTGAATGCGATACCTTCAGTGCACTATAGCGTAATATCCATTTCACCTACGTGCAGGACGTTTTGCATTTCGAACAATCCCACGAAAGAGACGATCATAAGAATGGCGATTTTCTTTGCATCGACCGCAAACTCTGCGCTCGTAACTTGACGTTTCGGTTACGTGACAATGATCAAGATAGGAATTGATTACGCTGCCACTAGCAGATTCAGGTTACCCGAGTGGAGGCCCGTCGCGTGGCTAGAAGGCTAAGACGCAGACAGGTCAGCGGACGAGTCGTAGCGCGTACTGCACTGGTTTAGCGTCAAATTAAATAGGATGTACGTTTTAGTTATTACACTACGTCCTACATCGCACATACGCATTGCTGCTCGTCCAGTGACCCTTCTGTGCCTTCGACTTCTCGTCACGCGATGGGCCTCCTGTCGGTATACCAGCTTCGGCACTACCACAGGATAGGAGAGCATTGCAGCGGCGACGCGTTTTAAACCACACTAAATATCGCTTTTTGTCATACCAGAGACTAACCACAAGTTTCACAGGGGAGGGGGAGGGGAGAGGAAACACTGTCGGACGAGTTAGCAAATTTGTTTTGCCCAGGGGTTCCCTCCACCCTCCTGCCTGATGCCCCCTATCTTACGATAGCGCCCAGACTTCATTCGATCACTGCTAGTTCAACTTCCTCTTTATTTTCTTCACCAGCTCTAAACGTAGGTGCGACACACAAAAAGCGCTCGTTGCACTGCAGCAACTAGAACATGTGCACGTACTGCCTCCACGCTCGATCGATGACTGCATGAGAAAAATCCCCTAATATTCCAACATTGATGAGTTCGGAATGAATAACTAGAGCTCAGCAAAGTCTGACAGTCAATTCCTACAGAGCTCGGACACACTGAGGCTGTTTCATGCTACCTTACAGTTCGTTTTCATAATATAATACTTTAGAATACAAGGGTGACTTCAGGACGAAATTCTGCTTTCAGATGTCGTGATTGCAGATTCACTGACGTGACTGTAGCAAAAATCGAAATCACGTATGCTTTTGACTTCTTAATGGTACTCGTGTTAGTAAGTCTGCAATCACGACAGGATCCGCGACAGGACCCAGTGCGAATCGAATGTGACTCGCTGTAACATCCTTTTCATCATAACTTCTACATACCTTTACTTTACACTTTATATGCATATCGTTGTGAATTGCATGAATTTCACTTAACCATTGCTGATCTTAAAAGCCAACAGCACATTATCTGAAGAGTTTCTCGAGCAAAGTGTATGTACCCTCGCCTTCAAATGACCAGAAATTGTGCAATTGCAGAAATTGACGTGGCATTAACGTGGCATCTTTGAGCACACGTGATGTGGCGTCACGTCGCGAGGGTAAGCATTTTGGGACGATATATTTGAAAGAAAAAAACTGTAGGCATAAATAGATGGCTAGACAGTAATCATCTTCCGTACTGCTACCATTCCAGAGCCAAGAATTTCCCGAACTTCAGACTGGGTTCGCGAAAGTGCTAACCATAAAGGCATCATATAACTTCCACGACATAATAAACGTCTAATCAAAGCGAAAGAAGTAGCGGAAAAAGAATTATGTCTATGAAACCATGTAAATTCAAAAATATAACTCAATTACGCCATATGAATGGGGAAAGTCGACAAAGTCAATAGTGAACGAGTAAACGCCCTTGTGCTTCAATCACTTCGCGCATTTACTATCTCATCATTACTGGCAATGAGATACAACTAACGACTGTATCACGAACCTGACAATGCCGTGAGCGGCCGCGCCGCCCTGTAAGAACCGTTTGCCCGAAGTCAAAAGTGGACTAAGAACAACAGCCCGGCGCGACGCGATTCCATATAAAATCACGGAGTGTACACGCTATACTGTAGATAATATTTTCGAACTGTCTTTTTGTTATTTTTTACTACTTTTATTGATAATGAGGCTACTGCAACGAAGAATTGACAACGAAAAAAAAAGCTGTAATGGAGTGAAATACCAGTGGTCTAGGAGATCGGGCCTCTCTGCTGCTTCGTAGCTTGAACTCGAAATCACGTACACTATCATGCGGATGTTTATGCTTCCACAGTACGTGGACCATGAAGCACAGTAACATGCATCGCAACGTAAAGAGAGTGCGAGATGCCTAGGTCCGTGAGTGCATATAAACCCAGACAATATTAACACATTAGCAACAGCATGATGCGCAAGCGCGTCAGATTTTCAGTTTACTACGTTTGGCTCATTTTACAGTTTCTATGTCGAGTAGTTTTTATGTTAGGAAGCTGTCCGTCTACATCATTACATCCAGGAAATACAATACTCATACTAGTCCCAAAATTATTGAAAGAGTAATCCTGGTTTTGGAAAAATACCAAAAAGGCGTCGAGGAGCACGCACAATGTCGTCAATGTGTTAATGCAGCCAGCACTTCTGCAAACTACTCCTAGTTACGCCAGTACTGCTGGCAACAACTTCGCATTGTGCCACCATCACAAATAATGTTAGCTGGCACCAAGTCCATTGGGTGATCTCCAACAACAAAGCCAGGTGTATTTACAATTTCTGGGAGGAAGTCTTCTATGGAGAAATGGGTGCCCCGTCCCCCAAGAGGCCCGTCGCGCGGCGGAAGGAGACGCAGACGCGGCAAAGGACGAGTCGCAGCGCATACTGTAGCGGTTAGGCGTCAGGTTAAATAGAGTGTACCATACTACGTCTCATATCGCACTGTGCCCTTCCTTCGCCGCGCGACGGGCCTCTTGGGGGACACCCCGGTGAAATGGTACTCTGCTTTTGATAAAACGCAGGCAGAAGTAAAGTTTCGACAACTACCTTGAAGTGGAACAAAGGGGGTTATTTGAAGAACCCATCCAGGTGTCGCACTGACCACAAAATTTACCCAATGCAATGACTGACCCTGGTTGTCACTTTCCGATCTCCATTAACAAGAACGGTGCAGCTATGAACACGAACTCTTCTGGCACACCTCAGTCCAACACTAGACCATTCAGAAATCAGCGTTAAATGCTACCATCGGTGGTGTTGTATTGCATTCCCTTGGACGCATTCGAATGTGAATTGATTCGGATTGCTGAACAAAGGACTCAGCTGAATCTCACATCTGTGCTTTTTTCGCCCCCAGAACAAGTCTAGTAGGATAAATTATTGAGACGACGTTATGGATCCCATGAGCATCCTAATGGTAAGCGGCTCCTTAGATGCTCAGTCACCTCCTAATTTTAAAGCTAGTTCGAATTGGAAAACGCCAGGCATTTTTTCCATAAATTCGACCTATAACTACAAAATTATGCAAATCAAATAAATAGAGCACGATTGAGGTATCAAGAAGCAAATGAAGAGATCAAATGTCATGTTTAGTAAAGTGCCAATGATTCTATCATTGGGTTTTCTAATTTTATTCCAAAGTGCCAATAAATGGATGCTGATAATGGCCACGACCTAGAAACAGGTCGACGCGTTAGGAGAATGCCCAATCGAACTTTATCATCCTCTTCTCTGTTCACACTCAAAAAAAAACGTGATGAGCCGACCAACTGCATGTTTCATGAGTCGCAGCAGCTAAACGATAGAAGCATTCATGAATACATAGGTGCTGGGCAGGAAATGAAGCAGGAGGCTGAATAGAGGCAGGAGAAGAGAATCAACTATTGGAATTGAATAAAACATCTAGATTGCATTCATATTGCAGAGAATACACTGGTCGTCGACGGGTTTAGGAGCGATGACAGTGCAGCCAAACGGCTCACTAATTCTACTCGCGGAACTAATGACGCTAAAGTAAACAGAAATCGCTGAAACATTAATAAAACATGTCGCACTGGTGCAATACTACTCAAGAACCACAAGAGATAGAAACAAAGAAAAATGCAAGGTTGGAAGTTATCGATGTCAAGTACATGCACTTCCTCCCTTCTGGGTGTAGCTCGCTAGGACAGCAAGCGACTTTTCTGCCTTTCGCGCGCGAAACATTTTTCGCTGCAGGGTCCCCGGGTCCACTCATGATCAGCGGTGGACCTGAGGTTCCTGCAGCGAAAAATGTTTCGCGCTGCGAAAGCGAAAAAATCGCTTTCTGTCCAGCGCAGCACTATCTTCTACCCCTTAGCAAATATCGCAATCTTAGCTTTTAATGCATAAATTTATTCAAATAGAAAGGTTTTAAAAGAACTGGGATTGATAGCGCTACTTCGAAAGGGGGACGAATGTCACCGGGCGATGACGCACCTCTGACGCTTTCAATATCGCTCAATAATTTCCGATTAACCACAAAAGGTTTGCCGTCAAAACATGCAGCCACCTAACGCCGAACGGCCCCTCAAAGAGGCCTCATTAAGCCTCGGCAGCACACGCCTTCGATAGCAGCAACTTCTCGCCTTACAACAATAAAAAGATCAGGCTGCATTCATTCCCAACCAGACCTACCAGTAATTACTGCGAGATTGGCCACAACAACAAAGAGCTAT